GTTTCATCTGTATATTCAAGTTCGCGTACCAAGACCGATTGGGGCATACCCTTGTTGGCCTCTCAGATTTAGTCTGCCACCTAACAAATCATATAAATCCACCTTAAAACAGTTGGGCCAGGGACACTATTGGGCTTTGAGGTCCCATCATTCGTAACCCGAAAGGGGGGGACAACTTCTTTTATGAACCTCACTTAAGTGACTCATACCCAAAACCAGGGGCAATTTTGCAAAAGTTATATGAATTTCACACCCTCACAATTCATAGATACATTTGTCCATACCTATCTTTTTACCATGCCCCAAACTGGGGCAACTTCTGAGTATCTACGACTTCACATTGGCATTTGTAATTGTTTTAAGGAGTAAGAGGCCCAAGTAGCCAAACCCGGGGGATACTCTCCAAATCCTTCAATCATCCTCCCACCCCACATTTAGTCCTACCCTTTTATCAGGCATGCATACACTGATGTTTCAAAAGAAAATGTTGAGCACACAAGTTTGAACATTTGACTTTTAGAATTTGACATCCATCGTTAAAAAAATGAAAGTCTAAATCTTCATAGATTTGATGATTTCAAAGAAAACAAAATTGACTCAGTAAAAAACAAAAGTGTCATAGTTTCATAATCTTCCATCACAGATCAAAAGTCAACATCTTGTACATATTTTCATCATCTTTTCTTCAAAAAAAAAGGACAAAAAAAAAAAAATGCATCAAAGTTTTCTACTCACAATTTCAAAACTACATATTTTCACCAAATCTTCTTCCTTCCAAAAGACAAAAAAAAAAAAAAAATCAACATGCATCAAAGTTTTCTCCTCCAATTTCAAAATTTACATCAACCATGTTTCTCTTACATATCGAGGTTTCAAAATCCTTGTACAAAAATGCAATGCCTTGTTTAATGATAATTTCACCCTTGTGAAAAAGTTTTAAAACCTTGTTTCTCGTTTCAAAAAAAATCGACACTCAGTTCTATCTCAAAAAAAAAAAAAAACATCAATCAAAAATCAAAAATAAAAAAAAATCAACATCTCAAAATCTCAAAAACTTGAACAAATTCAAAGTATCCAATTCAATCACAAAATTTTACTTTCTGCTATCGGTATCCCGGCCTCTCTAAGACAACGGTCGAACCCTTGGCAAATCAAAAACTCAAATCATTCCACTTCCATAGAGCGTTGGTACCACCCTCCACGAGGGTTTCTACACTCATCCAACTTCATCAATAGGGTTGGTACACCCTCCACGGAGGTTTCGACACCTATAAACTTCACCATAGGGTTGGTACACCCTCCACGAGGTTATTTACCCACCTCATTACACTACATAGGGTTGAGTACACCCCTCCCGAGGGCTTTAACACATCATCAACTCGATTCCATAGGGTTTGTGACACCCTCCACGAGGTTGGTTAACCTCATTCACTCCATAGCGGTTGAGTTAACACCCTAACCACGAGCGTTTCTACAACCTTCATCAACTTCATTCCATAGGGTTGGTACACCATCCACGAGGTTATTACACCTTTCATTTCCACTTCCATTAGGGTTCGGTTTTTTACACCCTCCACGAGGTTGGTACACCTCATTACACTTCATCCATAAGGGGTTGGGTACACCCTCACGAGGTTGGTACACCTCATTTCACTTCCCACCTTTAGGGATGGTACGACCCTCCACGAGCGGTTTCTTCTACAACCTCATCAAATTCATCCATTATGGGTTAGGTACACCTCCCAACGAGCGTGAGCGTCCACCTCATTCACTTCCCATAGGGTTGGTGGTACTACTCCTCCACGAGGGTTCTACAACCTCAATCAACTGATCCATAGGGTTGGTTTTACACCCTCACGAGGTCGTACACCTCATTTCACTTCCCTAGGGGGTTGGTACACCCTCACGAGGTTTTCTACACCTCATTTCAACTTTCATCCATCAGCGGTGGCTACACCCTCCACGAGGTTATTTACACCCTCCAGTCATCCATAGGGTTGCGTACACCCTCCGACAGGGTGTTACACCCACCCACTCATCCACAGGGTTGGTATACATCCACAATGGTCCCCCCTACTTCCGTTGCCCCCATTTCTTTTACCTTGTAAATTTTGGTTAGGTTTCCCCTGTTTATTTACTCGCTTTTTTTTTTTGCCAAAATTGAAACCAGACGAAACTTAGTATTCTATCTTAATTATCTGTTCTCATGAAATATACAAACGTTGTTTGTACAAGATCTAGTAAAATCAATGTAGGTTAAGTAAAGAGGGGCCAGCTGTCAATACCCAAATTTCGTCCGGGTAAATAAAAGGGCAGCAAAAAGAAAGAAAAAAAAAAAACAGAAAAAAACCCGGATAAGGAAAAAGACGAGGGAGGGGACGGGGGGGGCCACCCCAAAGGGGAGGGTAAGCCACGGAACCCAAGGGCTCCGAAAAAGAAGCGCGGACGGGGGGGGGGACGGCCGCACCACCCCGGGGAGCGCGGAGCACACCCCCACGGCGACAGCAGCAGCCACAGCACCCCGCCACAGCGCAGGCCACAGCAGACGACATGGGGGCAGGGGACGGGGGCCACAGCAGGCGACCAGAGGGTGAAGGGGAGAGGGAGAAACGGGCGGAAGGGGGGGGCACGGACAGGGGGGAAGGAAGCGGCTGCCAGCAACAGGGCGGGGGGGGAGCCAGGGGGGCGCCACCGAAGGGCGCCACCAACGGGGGATGGAGGAGGGCGGGCACGGAGGGTGCCACAGGTAACGGGACGAGGCACGAGAGGGGAGGGGAGACCGAAGGGCGCGCACCACGGGGTAAGAGGAGGGCGGACACGGAAGGGCCACACCGAAGTGGCGCCAACCTACGGGGGAGAGGGAGAGGCGGCAACGGGAAGGGCCACACATGGAAGGGCGCCACACGGGGGGCGAGAGGCGGCAGGGAGGTGGGCCAGAACAGGAAAACGGGGGCGAAGAGGGGGACCGAGAGGGAGGCACGACGGGCTCCACCAACGGGTGATAGAGGAGGCGGGACGGATGGGGGCACAGGAACGGGGGGAGGCAGCGGGGGGGGCAAGGAGGGGGAGGGGCAGCGAAATCGGGGCCACCAAGAACCGGGAGTAGAGTAAGTGGAGGGCATTCAACGGGCGGGCAGCCGGAACGCGAGAGGGAAAGACCCCACAGGTTCGTCACACACCAATGAACAGTAATACAGTCGCGTCGCGCGGCAAAATCGCGCAGTCCATCCCAAAACTACTACTTCATTTTCTGCGCACAATGGGACTATGTCTAGAATCTCTCTATACAGTAATAAAGACCATACCCCATTTTACTAACCAGAAGTTATTCGGCGGCTATCTGGCCATCGAGTCTTCGTCACAAACGTATTACAAGTAAGTAAGGGGTTCTTTCATCACACAATCTTCAAGAGGTACCCATTTTCTCTTTCATTTTATTATATAGCATTTGCATCTTTTTTTTAGTTTATAAATTCTTCTTTTGTTTTATATCACCAATTTTTCTTTATGCTTTTCATATTTCAACTCATCTATCCTTCTTAATAACAAATATAAAACTTTAAAAAACATGTAATAATATACATATCGGTATGAGTACTCGTGCGATCGTACGCATCAGCCTAGTACTCATTACCCAAAATCTAAAATAAACAAAAAAAAGCGGGGAGTGCTCTGTGCGCATCGTAACGCATCAGCCTGTACTCATACGCCAAAACAATAAAAAACAAAGGAAAAACCGGGGTCTGATACGTCGCTGAGTGCTCGTGCGATCGTTTACGCCATCAGCCTAGCTGCTCATTAACGCAAAAAAAAATCTAAATTATTACGATCGAAAAATACCAGAAAAATCTTAAAAATACTTCAAAAAACTAAAAAGACATCCCACATTTCCAAACAACAATTTCAAATGCTAGCCAGAGAAAACGACGATGATCCTTGAATTTATCCATCAAGAGTGGAGAATACGTAGGGCCGAAGGCTAGTCCTTGTCAGAGTTTCACTTATCCAAAATCCACTAATTTAGGCGTCCATAATCATTTTCCAAACAAAATTCTCAACAATTTTCAAACAAATTTTTCAAGCAGTTTCTAAAATGAAACTACGTAACCCTGATTTCTCATTTTATGCAGAATACGTAGGAAGCATGGTCAATCCTTAGGTCTGGGCACAAAAAAAATAAAAAAAAAGATATTGTTGTTGTTATTTAGAAATGTTAATTAAGGGGATAGTTAAAAACCATTTGAAATACCACATCGTTACGCAGATTTAGTTAAAAGGTACTATGCCTTAGGGCAGGCGTTACGATAGCGGGCCTAATACCTTCCCTACACGTATAACCGACTCCCGAAAACTTAGAATCTCAGTTTCGCCAGACCATTGCCTTTACATTTATAGTTTTTTCCGTACGTTTTCCAGAATTAAACTATGGTTTGGCGACTCCAAAAAATCCTTTTTTCAAAAATCGTTTCATTGTATATTTTTACATAGGATAGTCGGTCCCGTCGCATCCTCGGTTGCGACAAATAAACACTCACTTAAAATATTCAACCAAAGAGCCGAGGCTATTCAAATCACACGCTAACTATGGGCGTCGGAGTCCCTTTTGCAGGCTCACATAACCCTCCCTCGGTCAAGAAGATTTTGACGGATCGGTTATGTGCCAAAAACCGACGGGCCAATAGCAGGAGTTTGAGAAGGCAATCGCGAAGCGGGCCTCCTAGATAACAAGGCACGACAGGTTAGCTCTCGGGTCCCAAAAATATCCCACGAACAGTTTTGGGGCCACAGCGGGCGGAGACGAGCGTAAACCAATGATGACCACGAGGCTATGGATGAGGGACAACCAAAGCACAGAAAGGTTTTAGACACCACGAAGAAACCAAGACGAGCGTTCGTGTCTAACGCATCATATTTCGGATCAATCAGAGAAAACTTTCGGACAAAGGAAAAACTCACTGAGACCTCGTCAACAAGGAATAAGTATTTTTTTGAAAATATGATACTTTCATGAAATGTTCTAATGCATAATAGATATTATAACAACTATTTTATGTTAAATATATAGTATAACCATCATATATATAGATATTGATATAATTATAATATAGTACTATAAATATGAGTTATACTAATTTTATACCGAAACATTTTCTTGGCAGGTTCCAAAGCAAATAAAGTTTGTGTTAGAAGATAACTCTACACAACAATTAAAATCTCGAAAACGTGTTTGTACCTTGTTTATGTCTATGTTTATTATCGGTTGCAATATATCTGCTTAACCGAATCATTATTTACGGTTGTATAACCATAATATATGATCATCATGAGAATTACAGCATATGAACAACTGAACAAGATATAATCGATCATCCACGCCATCAAACGATGCAATGCAAAACTAAACTAAGTCATAAAACGAACTTCAATGCCTTAAGTTCATGGAATTCAATACGAGGGTAAGTCATTCCTATTGCAAGCACTGATTAGCCAATTTGTCAGCAAAGGTTTCATATTAACGTCAAAGTCCAACACGAGCGGATCCCTCTTGCGGGGAGGAGCAGGCAAAAGCCCTACTCAAAGACCAACGTGTAAAGGCCCTGTCCACTAAGGCAGCACTCCTAGCACTCAAACAAGACGGGTAAAACCCCTCAAAGACGAACCTAGGTAAATCCCGTATTCACTAGGAAACATCCTAGCTCAAAAACAGAGGTAAAACCCTCTCCAAGCCGAGAACGTAAAAAGCCCGTTCCCTAAGAAGCACCCTAGGTCACGAAGGACCGCAGCGGGAAATTCCCCTCGGTGAGAAGAGGTTAAGCCCTCTCAAAGACGACTGGTTAAAATCCCGTTCCTAGGAAAAAACAATCCTAGCTCAAACAGAGGAAAACCCTCTCAAAGCCGAACGTAAAGCCCTTCCTAGGAGCAGCTCCTAGGTCGAAGACCGAGCGGTAAATCCCCCTCGGGAGAGAGGTAAAGCCCTCTCAAGACGAACGGTAAATCCGTTCACTAGGGAAGCAATTCCTAGCTCAAACAGAGGTTAAAACCTCTCAAAGCCGAACGGTAAAGCCCGTTCCCGGGAAGCACCTAGGTCCGAAGACCGACGTAATCCTCTCGGTCTCATGTTGAAGGCGTAGCGGTAAATCCCGCTGCGGTTAATGGTCAAAGAGCGAGAGTAATCCCTCTCGCGTTCCATGTTGAAGTCGTAGACGGGAATCCCGCTCGAGTTAATGGTACGAAGGCCGAGAGGTAAATCCTCTCGGTTCATGTTGAAGACCGAGCGGTTAATCCCCTCGGTGTGAGAGAGGGTAAAGCCTCCAAAGGACGAACGTTATAATCCCGTTTCACTAGGAAAAACACTCCTAGCGCAAGGCGAGAGGGTAAAAAACCCTCTCAATAGCCGAACGGTAAAGCCCGTTCCCTGGGAAGCAGCTCTATGGTCGAGACCGACGCGGGCTTAATCCCTCTCGTTCATGTTGAGAGACGGAGCGTGTAAATCCCGCTCGGTTTAATAGTCGACGAAGGCGAGAGGTAAATCTACTCTCTCGGTTCCTGTTGAAGGACGAGCGGTTAAGTCCCGCTTCGAATTAATGGTCGAAGGCCGAGAGGGTAAATCCCTCTCCGTTCATGTTGAGAAGGCGTTATAATTCCTCTCGGTTCCTTTTGAAGGACGACGGGTAAATCCCGCTCGTTATGTCATAAGGTCGAGAGTGTAAGCGCCTCGGTTATTATGTAGAGGACGAAGCTACGTAAATTCCATCTCGGTTCTCGTGTTGAGGACGAGCGGGTAATCCCTCTACGTTGATACGGTGGTCCCGTACGGTACATGCGGTAAAAGTCGCTGGTAATGTCAAGGTGGATTATAGCGGGCTCTCGGTTTAATGTAGAAGACCGAGCGGTAAATTCCTCTCGAGTTCCTGTTGAAGAAGGTCGAGATCGGGTAAATCCCTCTCGCGTTTACTGTTAAGGTCGAGGCTGATAAACAACGCAGGGGTTTACATGTCCGCCAACGGGTCAGCTCCCTCAAAACTCATCATTCCTATATGTTAACCACGGCAAAGCCAACAGCTAACATCGGACTTGGGGGCAGTATGGTATAATATAAATATAGTAACGATGGTTACAAGCACACGGCTATATTCGGAATCTGTTTATATCTATTCCTGTTTATATTTTTTGGGCTTAGTATAGCCAGGTGATCATGAGGTAAACTAATGTAGACAAAGCCAAGGGCCAAAAAAGCCAGGGCCAAAAGCCAGGTACGTTCCACTTACGCATTATTTACTCTACGTTACTCTCAAATACTCAAGGGTGATAACCACTCACTAAATATTCAACCAAGAGCCGAGGCTCTTCAAATCACACGCCTAACTTGGGCGTCGGAGTACCTTTTGCAGGTACATCCTCCCTCGTCAAGAAGGAGACCGATCGGTTTGTGCCAACACCGATCGGCCAATAGCAGGAGTTTGGAAGCAAGCGAGCGGCCTAGACACGTCAGCAGGTTAGTCTCTCGGTCCCAAAAATATCCACCGAAACAATAATTATTTTATTTTTATATTGTAATGAATTTAAATATATGTTAATTTAATCTTCAACTTATTTTTACGTACAACACGGATATTTTTTATTGAGATAATTAGTTATTTAAAAGAATTGATTATAAGTTTATTGGTACGTAGAAACTGTGCCTTTGATGTAGGCGAAGATTTTCTGTAAAGAAAGTTTTAAGTGAGAAAAATGCACGTGAAATAAAGAAAAGCAAGGGATTTGGGAGGCTATTGAATAAATTATTGATTTAATTTTATGTCAATTATCTAATTGTTTAAAATAATATTATTTATATGGTTTTTAGTTTTAAACATTTATTTATAATTAATAAATAATAATTTTAAGATTTTATTTTAACTATATTTTAAATAAAAACTGTTTATATTTTAAAAATACATTTAAAAACAAATAATTTATGAATCTTGATTAGTTCAACTTACATATATTAACAAAAATTTAGTATTTCTTTTATGAAATAAAATCACCTCATTTTCATATCCCATATTGTCTAAATTGATGGTAAACTAAATTATGTGTAAGTCGAGTTGAATATTTTAAACGTTGAAAGTTAGACTAAGTTATAAATAATTTTAAAAAACCAAAAATAAAGTTATATAAAAAGAAAAAAAAAGTCAAAAAGGACAAAGTGTAGCAAATAAATTATAATTAAACCCAATTTACACTACAGTTATTATAGAATAGGAAGGAAGGGGAACTTATATAATTATTTTGTGATAATGTGAATTAATAATTAATTAAAGTGGTTTTTGAAAGTGATACATAAAGTTATATCACAATAATACTGAATTTAAATGTGGCTGAATAACGGAAAAAGTCAGTACCGTGTGTGGTAATTAATAAGTTATTGAAATTAATGATTAATTAATTTTGTGATTGAAATTAAGAAAAAATAGTGATATGAATGTGTGAATTATTATGGGGAAGATAAATGGGTATAGGGTTGGGTTAGGAAAAACACAATCATTCTCTTAAGCAGAGGATCGGTTCTCACTCATCACTCCCACACTATTTTATCCCTCTCACTCGCTTCAAAACTCTTTCAACTCAAAAACCAAAACCTCTCAAATCTTCTTCTTCTTCTTCATTCACCCTTCTCCAATGGCGGGTGCGATGAATAAGAAGGTCGACAAGATTCGCCAAATCGTGCGTCTCAAACACCTCATGTCGCGGTGGAAGCAAATGAGCATCAGCCGCCGCTCCGAGGACCCTTCCTCCACGCGCCGCCCTCCCTCCGGGTTCACCTTCGTGTACGTCGGCCCCGAACGCACGCGCTTCGCCATACCCGCGCGTTTCCTCAACCTCCCCGTCTTCGAGGGGCTCCTCAAACAAACCGAGGAACAGTTCGGACTCCGAGGTAACGGCGGTTTGGTCCTCCCTTGCCAAGTCCCCTTTTTCTCTAACGTCGTTAAATTTCTCCACAAGGACGAACACAAGTACGGGAAACTCTCTCTCCAAGACTTCCTCAACTTGGTCTCCGATGCTGACGTTTCCGATTCCTGTAAGGAAAACGTCGTCGTTTTCACCCCTCTGCTGCAGAAAGCAGAGGTTTGACGTCCCCGTTTCCTTTTCTTTTTCCCATTGTCAGAATCTGAATTTGTAAATGAACAACTACCCAGGAATCTTTTCTCTTCTCTTTTTTTGTTTTTTTGTAATGGGTTTTTGGTTCTTCTCATCCTTGGATCCACTCCTCAAATTTTCAAGGGAGGGTTTCAACGAGATGTCTTAGAACTTTTCCTTAGGCTCTGTTTTTTTTTTTTCCTTTCTTTTTGCTAGACTGGGTTGTCTTTCACTGTTTGTTTCAACGGATGGATGCCCAATTTTATTATCAAATTTTAGTGATCAATGAAGAATTTCATGGTTAGTGGTAACTCTGGATCTGTGTTTTTTTTAGAATATCTAGCAATTTTTTTGGCTTGGTCTTATCTTCATGAATGCAACAAATGGGTATATGTATATGCTAAACATATAGTAGTTTATTCCGTATACGTCTCAGGATCCTCAATTTGAGTGGTTATAAATGCAACCGGTTTGGTCTATTTCGCGTTAACTCTTTTACGTTCAAAAGTTGATACTTCGTATTCATGTTCTTCATTTTTACTTTGATTCATACATGTAAAAATCAAACTTTGAGTGAACAAACCAGTAACAAATATTTGTTCATTCGAATGTGTTTGTATAATTATCTGATTCGAATAAGGTTTTTTTCCGATATGTTGTGAAAAAAACAGACACGTGATCTGCTAAAGAGAATTACAAAAGTCAATTTTTACTGGCACGCGAGTGTTTTGCTCTCTGAGTAAGATTTGCTGCATCAGCATATACAAGTTGTGCTGGAGAAAGTGTAGAATTTTTTGCAATTATAGCAGTAATGGAGTTAGCAAAATAAACACGCATCTTCAGGGCAAGCGTGCAATTTAGAGCCCTATTTCAGAGGGCAAAAGTAACATCAAAATCAGAATGAGGTGTATAGAAGAAAAGTCTTATCTAATCTAAATGATATTATGGGCAGCTATGGCTGCTTTCCTGTTTTTTATTATCACTCAAACAGATATGTTGTCATTCTCTATAGTCTTAACATGCGCAAAGAGATTCTGTGGTTTTTTTTCTCGTTGAATTTTAGCAAAGGAATCTAATCTTTCTGTTATGTTTTCCTAATTTTAGAATTATATTCTGTTTTCCTCCATCTGATGAGGCTTATTTAACCTTACCCCTCGAGCTTAGATTCCCCAGATATCAACAAAACACCGATACTTTTTTTGCCCTTTTCTTTTTGTTTCTTTTTGGAGAAAATATTGGGCATGTGTCAGTGGTTGGCGTGAGAGATTCCGATTATCTTTCTAGATTTTATAAAAGCGTTTTCTTCTGTTTTAGCTTAAATTGTTCAGATGCCAACCAAGTTTTTCCACATGACTTCAGGTAAAGCTGATGCATTTGAGCAGATTCTCGTTCTTTTGTTATGTGCTTGATTTATGTTGCTAGCCTTTGCAAAATAGCATGGATTTTGTCTCGGTTCTGGTTTGCTACCATAAAATTTTCTATTTCATCACTGTGGTGTAATTGTTGAGTATACTATCCTCAACAATTTGTAACCCATACTAATGATTATTGATTATACTATCCTCTCTCGTGATTAATTATTATTAGAGACAAGTTGTAACCCATACTAATTTTTAGAAATTTGTTTTCGTGAATTTTATAAATTTAATTTAATTCTAAAAATTATATTTGTAAGATGAAGTTTGTGTTTATTTGGATAGTATAAGCTCATTATAAACTTACAAGATTAAATAAAATATTATAAACTTACAAGATTAAATAAAAGATTATAAAATCAATAAAACAAAACGGATGATATTAATACACTTATTTAAAAAGTAAATAACGGTAATAATAAATATATTTAAAATAATTAAAGATAATTTAGAGTTTTTTTAAACTTCTATATAGGATTATTTTATAGTATCAACATTTTTCATCAGAGATGCATCAACATCTATTTTTCATCATCTCATACCAACAAGATGAACATTGATTAACAAACACCAAGTACACAAAAATGCAAGCTAATACAAAAAAGAGTTATCAATAAATGCATTTTGTAACTTTAATAATAATTAACTTATTCAAAAACAACTTTAAACATGAAAACTTGTACCAATTTGCTCAATTGCCTAAATTATAAATTCTCTTAGTCACATACAACTCAAGCACAAAAACTTTATAAAACAAGTCAAAACTAGCTTCCAATACAACTCATCCCTTTAAGGAGGTTCAACACACACATAGATCTCCATAATGGTAAGATACTGTCCGTTTTGGATAAAGTCCTCGCAGATTTACTTTTGGTACCATTCCAAAAATCCTCTTACCAAGGAAGGTATCTTATTTGTATATAAACTCATGTTCATCTCTTGTTTTATCCAATGTGATACTTTGTTTGTATCTTGACACTCTCAACTTGCATGATGGTTTATCTACACAGAAAAATCACAAGAACGATCAGCTTATCAGTTGAGACTCATATTGATGACTAAAATGATGCATGCAACTGAAAGAAAACTCACATGCAACAAATAACATAAAAAGATAAAGAAAAAAAGGTTGAAACCTAACTTATTGGAACAAATAACTGATTGGAACAAATAACTGATTGGTTTGAATTGAAGAATTTGTCACAAATATCAATTCTACGATCTCGATTCTTCAATCAGAAAAGTAGAGAAAAAAACTCTTAAAAAGAAGTTTGGGAACTCTATATAAGTGTTTTAAAATAATATTCATAATCAAAGTATTTATATTAAAACCTTTTAGTATTAAAATGATCGAATCTCGCTATTTTTAAACCACTATCACTTCTTAAATATAATTTTTTAGGTCTTTACATATATGATCATTAAAAAGCTTCCCTCACGTTGAGATCACACTAAGATGTATATACACTTCGTATGTGCGACTAGATATTAATGAATAATTCAATAATTGTTTAATAATAAATGACACGGTAGACTTAAAAAACAACCAATTTTGGTAGAATAAAATTCTAATAACTCCAATACCATATTAAAAAATAGACTTTAAATTTAAATAAAAGTTTCATAATTTTCCAATTGCTAAATATACAGTAAATTTTGATCATTCTCCGATTGCTGAATATACAGTAAATTTTTACTCATTTTATCATCTTTAATCGTTTTAAAAATAAAATATTATTGGAAGTTCCACATCGACTAGAGATAAGCCCAAATTATAATATATAAGTAGGATACAAACCTCACCTTACAAGCCGGTATTTTGGAGTTGAGTTAGACTTAAAACTCACTTTCTATATGGTATCAGAGTCTATCTAGCGATATTTCTTGTAAAGAAGTTGAGTTAGGCTTAAAAATCCATTTTTTAATAAATATTGAAATATTTTATCTTTAGCAATAATAAGAATAATAACAATCTTAATATAAAAACTTTAATTTTATTAATTTGGTTAAATTGTAATTATTTTATTCGTATGTATTCTAAATCAATATTTTCAACTATGTGTTATCATTATGAATGAACTTTAATTCAAATTAACGTAATTAATTTTTTTTACTAACTATTTATTCAATAAAAGAAATAAAATATGACGGATAAAAAACTTGTCAAATTATTTTAATATACGCTCACAAATTGACTTGCCTATTTTTGAAAGAATTTGATTTGATTCATTAAATTGTTTATTTTTATTGATTAATTATTCTCTTGATGTTACATACTATCTCGTGATAGATGACAAAAAATATGCATATGCTGATTTCCTCATTCTAATGAGGGGAATATTATCCCAATGTTAGCATTGTAGTCCACAAACGTCACCTTTTCTTCTAATAACAAAGTTCTTATAATTTGTGAGTTGTGATAAATCGATGCATGACATAACTTTAATGACATGGTGGTACACTCATGACGGCTACATGCATGATTAGAAGAAAAGAAACAATGAGAAAATTCACACGTCAGCTTTATGCAAGAAGAATAGAAAAAAAAGAAAAAAAAGAAAACAAACAATTAAACATAAAATATTATCAATAAAAGTTTGTAATTATTTATATTTCATTTATATTGGATTATATTAAGGTGTCTAATGATTAAAAATTATTTATTAATTTATAATATATACGGTTTAAATCGATTGAATGAAATACATAAAAAGTATTCTAATGTCAAAATTAATTCAACTTTTAATAAATAATGATTATTGGAGGAGTGTAATCTATGTTCTTATCTCAAATATTTATTTATAAGTTTTGTGGTAAATTTTTGAATAATTTTAATTTAATTATAATTTAATTGTGAAAGTTAATCAATTTTAAAGTTAATATATTCTGATATTGTTCATCAGATCAGTTTAATTCAAGATCAATATGTTTGGTAATTATCAATGATCGATGACATGTTATTTGAGTTAATGTTTGACTAATTCAGACTAATGCATAATTAATCGACTTGTTTAATAATTGATAAGATTTGTTTACTGAGATAGTATTTAACTATGTAAATGGATACATGATCGACCATCTTGTTGTTTGATGATGACTTACTTCAAACTATGAAATGGTAATCCAAACTGGTATATTGTTAACACACATATTTAATGTTTGAACTTGTTTGTTTGCTCTTTCAAATTGCATATTAACTATCCAAATTTATTCATAGGACCGACCTGTATAATAACTTATCAAACTCGTTGATTTACCACTTGAAATGTAATTGACCGTTCCAACTATTGTTGATGAGATCGTCTTACGATACAACTTACAACAAAAAAATATATTAAATGGTTGGTAGGTTCCTTCACTCATACGAGTTTCGATTTATGAGGGTTTGACCAGCAAGTTGATATTCTTATCCTGTGATGTTACTGAAAAGCTGACAGACACACTTTCGTCCCTACTTTTACTAATTAGTCATTTTAAATATATAATTTAATAAAATCATAAAAAACATATTATCTATCATACTCTTATTTTACTTAAATAAATTTATTTAACATTATTAAGAAACCACTTTGTTACCTGTGCCAATCAATGTTAATAATAATAAATTTGACCTAATCGGTTTTGTCTTAAAATTTTATTCAATTTAGTTTCTCCAAAGTCTTTAACTTGAAAAATGCAACATGTTTCAATACACTATTGTAACTCTCATTTTTTTTATGAATATAAGAATATAACTCTCACTTGAGTTATAAATTGTAATATTTTTTATAAATAAATAAATTTTTAGTGTTTAACGTCTAGTCTATTTATATATGAATTTTCCGAACGCTCCTATAGATTGTTTAATGTAACCATGCCAAAAAAAAATTATTTATAAAGATTTCAATTTTCAGCAACAATTTTCTTTTTTTGAATGCAAGAAAGAAAGAAAAAACAAATCCCAAAATTATTCAACTAATAAATATAATGTAATATATGAAATATACCGTCCATGTTACAATGAAAATCAACTTATTGATAAAGGTAAATGATCACTCGAGATAGCCGCTTTAGGTAATTTAAAACTAATTAATAGTGAAACAATTTGTTAATAAATATATTAGTCGTCATCAATGATTTGATTGGAGTATCAAATATGAATATATGACATTAATGATTTGACTGTTGTATCAAATATCAATAAACAACATTAATGGTTTGATTGTGGTATCAAACATGAATATACGACATTAATGGTTTGATTGTGGTACCAAACAAACTTATGGTGCCTCAAGGAATTTGGACTATTACGTGAAACAGAGTCAGCAACTGATCGGAGTAGGTCAAAGTCATAAAGGATTGTCGATCCTCGGTCTCTTTCAACCGAAACAATTTTAATCTTCCTTCTTTGTATCTTTTTGTTGTGTTATCTTCTATCCTTTGCTTTTTATAAGTGAGACAAAAAACAAGAAATTAAAAACTAAATAAAACACTGACTTTATGTGACATCCCAAAAATATAGCACACAACTATATACAGGTTTCAACATTTAATAATATGATAGAACAGTTACTACAATAAGAAAGTCAAACTTACAGTTATTACAAAAATAACCATAAAATTTTTCGTTTAACTTTACAAGAGCTTCCTATACTACTACCGAACGTTCAACATATAACCGAACGGTTATATTTACAGAACAAAAATGGTGAA